TCTTTCTTTTTTTTTTTTCTAATATATGGAATCAAGAGATTTCTGTTGTTTTCAAATTTAAATAAAAAAATAGTAAAACCTATACGGCATTTCCTTTTTCATTCTTATGATGACAATACAAACCTTAAGGGTAACAAGACAATAATTTAAAATGCAATGTGATTGAATGTAAATTATATATGCCACAGTTGCAGTGAGGCTTTATCAGTTTTGTTGCTAATGGCATTGGCAATTGCAGTGACATCTCGAAGCTCAGTAAAAGCTAATACTTGTGCACTAACAACCTATTCTTCCAAGTAATGTGGAACTGATGATTTGAGTAAAGCATATTATTAAAACTTTACAACAAAAACGTGAAAGAAGAAGATATGGCAGTAATGGCGCTTCTTTCAAATAAGATGTTCTCTTCAACAAGAATGTCCTGATTATGCTAATATAATGTGTCAATACCTATAGAAATGTTATCATTCTAAAAGCTCCCATTGGCACCAATGAAAAAAGGCTTAATGAAGGCAGATGGTGGCATTTGAGTTTGTGACCTCTTTTTTGTTAATTTGTTTTCTTTCCAGGAGTAGAGTTTCTTATCGACTACTGGTAGAAGTAATGACTAAGATTTCAGTAAATTAAATAAACAGATAATTTTTCTCTCACTTTCTGCTTAATTTCTTTTAGTGAGATCCATATACCATGAAAGTAATGAGAATATTGTCATTGATTTCAGAAAACCATGTATCAGGAACATTTTGCATTAGATAACAGTTTGTCATATAATCAGTTTTATTCTTTCTCTGAGGAATTCCGTTTTTTAGTTATTTTCTTCTGCTAATGTGGGTCTTACAGCCAGTGACAGGAACAATGGCAAGTATATAGTAATATAATCATTAAAATTGGCAGAGGTGTGCAGATGCAATTAAATTATTTCAGCTCTTTAAAAAAAAATCTGATCCAATATCAGGTTTTCAGTTTGTGTAATCAGTTTCCAGTTTTTAAAAATGCACTACAGTCTTAATTCTTACGTCTGATCCAGATAAACTCAAGTAAATGGAAATATACCCATTGATTTCAGTGAACTTTGGATCAAGTCCTCATTACTTTATATAAAGTTTTGGGAATAGTAATGTCCAAAGGAAACTATGAGAATGAAGCTCCAACTCACCTCAGAATACCAGGAATTTGGTTTTCTAACTTATGAAACTTCATGCTATTGGAGAAGGTGCAGTCTTTCTTCTGAAGGATGGATGCAGACTTTAAAGCCAAATCTTTCTTTCCAGTGGTTCCAGTACCTGTTAAGTCTATATATGTTATGATCTTAGTTGAATTTATCACACTGAGAAATGAACTGGTATGACCAACAGCAGAACTCAGGCTTGGGAAGAACTGGAAATGTTGGCTTCTTCGATGAAAGAGAAATGCGAAGTTATTGTTCTCTTGATTCCTTTTCAGCACTTATAACTGTTACTTTAAGAACTATTTTACTATTTTACAAGGCTAGCATGCCGCCAGAAACTAGAGAATGTCAAAGGATAAGCCCATAGAAATAAGACTTTGACAATACTGTTATATGAACAATCTGTTTGAACGGATCAGGAATAATTGATGAATGCTGGAAATTGCTGTGAGAGCTGGTGTTTTATAACCACAGTGAGGATTAGCACACATAAATAAAACTGACATAAATTACATCTCAATACTGAAATGGCATGTCCTATACAAGATATATGTGTGCTTATATATATATGCGTACACATATACGTACGTACATATAAATATACATGTCTAAGACATCAGCATAGAAATAAATAACTATAAGATGTCCTTCCCCCATTAGGTGCAGTATAGCTTTACTATTATTCTGCAGTCAGACCAAGGTATTTTTTTCTGGAGTAAGAGTTTTTCTGAAGAATGTAGTAAGACAAAAATATGATATATGTACATTGCATTATATCTGTATGGTCTATCATATCTATACATGGTATATTAGAACATGCATGTGATATACATATGATGGGCATATAAGGCATAAAAATAATTATTCATGACAATAATATGTTGGAAGCCTTCTGCGTGTTCCTATGAGACATTTTTCTGAGATGTTTTGCTTCCTGGAAAACAGTCATCCATATATAGCATTGCATATATGCAATATATGCATATATATTGCATATAATCACCTGCAGAAGGTTTTTATTGGATTACCTATGACAAAGCAAGCACTGAAGCACCCATTTGAATCCAGGAGCTTAAGTTAGGAGGAAAGAGAAGCAAAGTGCGCATTTAATTCCCGGTTCTAAGTGAAACATTATGCGGAGATGAACTACAGACTATCTCAGCAGGTTCACAGGGGAGTCTAGGTGCCAGAGTTTCACAGTGCCTGTTACACTCTTCTTTGAGCAGGAGCGACTGGTCTCTAGGACACAGGAAGCAGCTCTCTAGTGTGTGGCCAGTTGCTGGGTGTGGGTATCATGGCTCTGCCTCTTCCCATACGTCCCTTCCTCACATGTACTCTTGCTCTGGCAGGACAAGAGTGTGCCTGGGCCAGCTGGAACCCAGGAGCAACTAATACAAAAGAGTCTTATCAAACCAAAGGAGTGATGACTGAGATCTCATCTCACGTTGCCCATCCCAGTTCTACATTGCTGGTTTCAATTAGTGACTTGAAAGTCTAAAGTGACTGGTCCAAAATCACTGTTTGCCGCTCTCTCAGTGGTCTTTCACTGCTTGTTTTTGCCTGGTTCCAGTTAATTTCTGCACATTTTCATTCACCATCTATCAGAGGTGTAGCAATTTCTAGGAAGCAGCTGACAGCAAAGGTCAACCATCTGCCTGGTGGCCATGGAAGTGGCTGATGCTATATAAATAGAAAAGAGCAGGAGCCACACTGAAGACGAGGTTTATCTGACGGGCTAAAGTAGTCGGGCATCAGCAAGACAGAAATGCTCTAAATAGATGGAGAATACCAAGAACAAGGATTTGGAGCACAGGAAGGAGTAAAGAGTCAGGTGCCTGAGCACCTGCGGAAGGGAGAAAGAGAGTAGAGAATGAAAGAGACTTGTAGAGGGATGTAGCCAGTGCAGAGGAACTTCAGAAAAGCAATTTCTGCACTCAACAAATTTCCTTGTTTAAGAGATGTATGTATGACTTTGTCAAGGAAGGAGGTGACCTGTTTTAACAGGAGTGGGAACTGCATGTCCCCTAGTAGGAGAGGAAAGGGCAAGACATCTCATGACAACACATTTATAAAAAGTAGTGGATACTGTGAGAAAACTTCAGCAATGCTGGGTGACTGAACTCTAGTAATTTTTCATTCAACTGCAGGGGTGGCGGAACCAGTAAATCAAATGCAAAACGCTGTAAAAAGTAGTCCTTGATAAAAGATATTGCTATTTGAATATTACTTTGTGCATTGCTATTAACTGTTCCATTTTGTAAAGATCAATATTAGCAGCTTCCTTAATTTATAATATTTAAAAAAATAAGATAAATGGTGAAAGTAGAATTCATTTAACTGCAATTTAATTGAAACATATTCCTCTGAGTTCTTCTGGAGAATAAGAATGTTGGAACAGAAATAAGGATTATTGTAAGAAATAACATACTAGAAAAAGGTTAAGCAAGCAAAATGAAACTTAGTGTACCAAATTTCATACGCTAGTAAAAATAGTTTTACAAATATTCTTTTCAGAGGGATGAGCTGCAAAGCATAACAAGCAATGAAATTGTACTATAATACACTATCTTAAAAGGCTCATTTAAAAATCTCAACCATTATTAAACAGCGGCAGACTGATAATAGCACCTAATTCTCAAACCATAAAAGCTTTAATATATTTATGAGGTGGTGAGTCCTGTTGCTACTAGGATATGCTATGTTTATGTGCTTTATGCAAATCCAGAGAAGCTTTTTAGGCAACTGCTCTGTGCATGTAAAAAACTACCTGAAGTTAATAGCATTATTCACAAAGAAGTATATCTGATGTCTAATACAGTGGAGTTTCTTTTTGGTAAGTTTTTCAAGTGAAGATGCATATAGCTGGATGCTGAATATGGTCACTGGCTTTTTACACTATTTCTACCCTACCTCACCTTTCTGTATTATTCTGAAGTATCCTGGTTATGCTTGAAAATTTGGTTATGCATCATGTATTTGTTTAAAATATTACTTAGCTTCTCTGTTACTGGAATAATTGATGTTGCTTGCATTAGTAATTGAATTTCAAAGAACAGCATTTTCTCCTCGCCTCTGCTTCTTTTTGGGTAGATTAAAGAGTTCTTTGCAAAGGGCAAGACATCTATTATATTTACTAGAGAACTTAGCTTGTATGCAAGAGACATTTCTTAAAAAACACTCTAAGTTTCTAGCAGTTTCCAGGAAATACTCTTGATTTCAACCCTGTTAAATTATGAAGATCTATACCATAAAGCTTTGTTTAGAAAAGCTGAGATGGTGGCCAAATTGCTTGAGGAAACATAAAAAGATTAATGGTTGAGTTCTGCCTGGCTCCCATATTCTCACTTCCTGAATCAGTGTAGCTGAGACACATCACAAAGATGACACATATTGACTCTGGGAAGGGAGCAGCAATTATTTGCCTTATTATTTTCCATGTCAGGCAAATAATAAAGCAATGCTGTGCCAGCCAGCAAAAGAAATTTCTAGGTTGCCTGTCCTTCAGCTTGAAGGACTGTTGTACATACCTCTCAACAACAGGTATATATTTGGAAATTAAGACCTTACTGCAAAGAACAACAAAAATATCTAGATCATCCACTGAATTCTGCTTTGAAGGAAGACAAAATACCAGGAAATATAAACAGTGCTCAGTTTCCATATTAATATCCTTCCAGGGAAGTGGCTTATGGATCATCAGCTCCAGAAAAATCATTTTGATGGTGGTATTGTGTAGTCTTTCTCCCACAAGATAGACCAAAGGTGTTTAATGTTTGTTTAGTCAGTCTCAAATGTCTGTATGTGTTGCCTTTGTTGTTCGTTTGTTTCATAGATCTATTTGCGATTCTTGGACTACGAGATGCAGAATTCCAATGAATGTAAAAGGAATTTCGTAGCTGTCTATGATGGAAGCAGCTCCGTGGAGGATTTGAAAGCAAAGTTTTGCAGCACTGTTGCTAATGATGTAATGCTGCGGACGGGTCTTGGTGTAATCCGCATGTGGGCAGACGAAGGCAGTCGAAACAGCAGATTCCAGATGCTCTTCACATCTTTCCAAGAACGTAAGATCCCAATCAATATGTCCACCTTTCTGTTTGTTAAATGATACAAGTCCCAAAAGCTGTTAATGTTCTCTTCATGCAGAGTAGTCGCTGAAGAATGTTCCCAAACAAACTATCTAAATATTCAGAACAGTTTTCTTCCAAGCATTTATAGTGAGCAATAATTTGTAATGCAGTAGACAGAGCATAGGATTCAGAGACAGGAAGACAGGTATAACTAGCCATGAGCTGTCCAGTTGAATGACGATGACTTTTATCTGATCCACAAGCTATAAGGCCACTGTGTCTCAGTTTTCCCTTACACAACGTGGGAAATAACACAGCTCTGAAGATTTTTATCAAGCCTGATCCTTTTCTTGAATTTGATTTTTTAGATCTCATTATGATGGGCATTTGAATAATACATTTACAATACACGATCATTTATCACAGATAGTGGGTGTGTTTTTGTATAATCCGGAATGCATATATCAATAAACATATACATCAGATACTGTTAAGCAAAGAATTTCGCTATTATTATTTTTTGTACTAACTGAAATTTTCTGAAAGCTTTACTTGATATTTTGTTTAATATTCTGTCTATATGCCTTGCCTACATTCATACGTTTATATAATTTCTGGACACGGATAATAAGCAAAATAATCTTCAAAAGAAAGAAAAGGTAGTTCTACTCAGTTTAAAAAAAAACAAATTAACAAACCAACCACAAAAAAAACTCTCAGCAAAACCCAATAAACCTATTCACTGAAAATTATTGACCTGGTGATCACCTGTGAAAGAAATCAACTTGTTTTCTTTGGTGGAAATGATGCGTATCAGTCTCTTGAGGAAGGAGTATATGCATTTATTTTCGCATGCTGATTCACGTTAATTTTTAACGTATTTTTTTTGGTTCATGCATCACATGTCTGACAGGAAGATTTCTGTGCAGCTGTCAGTGGTTGGAATAAAGGTGCAATCCTACCAAACATATTCTTCATCTGTATTCTCTGTGTGTGTGCCCTGCAATGAGGCAATGAGACTCTGTTGAGAACAGCCTCTGTAATTCCTTAATTATGGCTCTGATTAAAAATTTCTGACAGTCTGCATGCCTGCAACTGCATATACCACTGGATGCTCACACTGCAGCCTTAGGGTGGATTATATTTTTCTTGTCTGTAAATCAGGCCAGGGTCTAAGAGATATTGAGAACCCTCAGTTGAGATGATACTGCTCTTTTCTCATTTCTGCAAGTGGAGATGTCTTGAATATTCAAGATCTGATTCATTTTTTTCACAAGGCATCCTGATCTGTTACCTTAGAAACAACTGCATAGACACTGGAGGTTCACAGCGTATAACGAACTGGAGAGTGAAGCACTATGATGACTAACTTGAAGGGAAGGTTTGAATAAGTGTGTGTTTCCAAGGCTTTCATATTTTAACAGAAAAAATGGAAAAATGTGGTTTTTTCTGTTAAAGTATTCCTAATATGTTTACCTATCATGCTACATCTTACTAGCTACTCCATTCTTGTAAACAGATGATAGTCTATACTGCCTGGTGTTCTGACTGGGAAGTTGAAAATATTAACATGATATGTTTTCTGTAAATTTATTCTGAACAGTCACGGTGTGCTAAAAGCTGAAAATTTATTAAGGGCTCAGTTATGCTTTGAGATATGTGTACTGAGCCTGCTCATAAATATTAGAAGAAACTGCATTCGTCTTTTTAACACCGGAAGATGACTTTAGAGATTTAAAGGCGATGCCGATTGCACTTTCCGGGCCCTGTCAGTTGTCCGTAAGTGCTGCCCTACGCCGCAGACCGGTGCTGTCTGTCAGGAATCAGCGCGAGCAGATGTCCGGTGTGCGCGCCGCGAGACACGGCTCATAGCACCAAAACTGCAGCGTCTTTCGGCAGCGTGCGGGAATAATTAGATCATCTGCATGGAAGAGAAGGAATGTCAGACCTCGTTCAGGGAGATGAGCATCAGGGAACAGACACCTGTGTCTCTGCTTGGGGACAAAGAAGGAAAAAGCTGTTTTGTTCACCTAGAGCTGAGAAAGAAACAAAGCAGAAGATGATATTTATGTTGTGGCTATGTGCACGGGAAAAAGTAACGCAGTAAAATATCTGTATTTACTGTTGCTGTAGGAATGGCCAGGAGGTGGTGTGATCTGTAGCTCCCCAAGTTCCTCTCCTTAATGCGGAGTTAAGTTGACAAGATCGTGAGTCTTCCCTAAAATAAGACTCTGTGAAATGGAAGTCTTTTTGCAGAAACCGGCTACTTAGCCTGAGGAATGCTTTCTTTCTGTATTAGTCTGTTCAGTGTTAATTCTTGTTATAGAGCTGTTTCCTGGGGATTTGACATTTGTGTAGAACAGAGAAATCTTAAAGATATTTCTTACATGATTATTTCCATATGGTTTGATCAGTGTGCTCCAATTACATTTAAAATATAGATGTCTTTTTGTTGGCATGTAAAAAGTGGTCTTACAAGTTTCCAAACCTCTAGCAGTGATGCTCTGCAGAGCAGCAGTGCTATAAATATTTCTGAAGGAAAGGCATACAATGCACAAAGTTGTTAAATTTCCTACAGAAAATCAGTAATGATTCTCATATCATCAAATTAGTAGTAGAGTTCTAAGTAACACTTAATAACTAATTAATTCTTAATAGCTGATAATTTAGAGTGATCTGATATTTCGTGATCAGCATTATTAGCTATTCCAACTATCATCATGAGTTTTGTCTGCTTTTGTCCTTACATTTTTAATCTTGAATATATCTTATAAGCATATATATATCTAATCATATTTTTGTGTATGGTAGTCACTGTCTACAATAGATTTCAGATATCTAACAAATTAATTTAAGGATCAAAAAAAGGAAAACTAGAGAGCTAGTACCATCAAAAGGTGTCAGTTCATTTAGTAAGAAGACTTGAAAAATGAGTCTTTGTGTTTTCACCCACTGACTACCTGTTCATTTCATTTCCCATGACTGCAAGAGTGGTCTCCAGCCTGATTAATGACAGACCTATAGCTTCTTCAAAGACCTGAGCACACACACCTATGCTTTAACCTAAAAGCAGATTTGTAGAACCAGAGCATATGGGATAAGAGAAAATCCTCTGTATGTTCAGCATATGTACAAGATGTTTGCTCTCTTACCTTTGGCTACTATTTAGTAGTACTGCTTCCTTTTCCATCCATAACTCTGCATCAAAAACACTAGACCAGAAAAAAAAATGTCATTCCTTCTGCTATTTTGTTGTCCCTTTGAGTTCTAAGCCTGTTTTTAAATTCCTGTACACATGTGACTTTCTTAAAGGAGCACACATTCTATCATTCTTACTTTCTTTTTATTAACAAAAAACATATTTGGATAGAAATCTAAGGCCATGTTTAGAAGAGTAGTGCACGGCTTTATTTAGAAACAGCACTCAAGTCCTTATTTACAGCCAGAATCCCTGAAGATGATCACCCTAGCATGGGCAATTCTCTAATGGGGAAAAGGCACTTCAGGTATGCAGTATTAATGACAAAAAAGTGATATGTGCAACACCTGTGATTTCCCTTTGCAAGGACTTGTGAGTGTAAATAGATTGTAGCTTTGCTGGTTTTGCTTCCTGCTTCCTCTCTAACATATATATATATATATATATATGTATATAAAGAAACGTTGGGATGGCCTCCTTACTGATGAGTGCTTATCTGTGATTTTCTGCTCCTCTGCGCTATTTGCAGTTATCTCTGGTGAAATACCCTCACTGGCTAAGCATCCCAATTCCTCTCTGCCCCTGAACAGAATAACTATTTGTGACACCTAAAGTGTACGAACTAAAGACAGACTGGAGCTCTGAGCACATGCTCCTGAGCTGCCATACTCTGGTGAGTTTGTATTCCGAAAAACCCCATGAAACCACATATAAGCAGTTTTTAAACCCTAGATTATCGATGTGTATATGATATTAACTATCTGTAAAAGTTACATTTGTCTTGAACAGAGCTGTCTGAAGGTGGCTGAGAAAGAAAATTCAGTATAAAGCACCTTTCATTTTCAAGTTTCTATTAGCTATTTTAATTCAGTTTATTTCTTTAGTGTCAAATGTAAAGATAAGTAATTTTACTCTAGATAATATACTTGTAGTGTACAGTACTAAAACCATCTTAATAATTTTATAATTTTAATAAAGTGAGTGAAACAGTCTCTCATCATGACTGATGAACTATTCCTTGGAGAGGCTGAGAGAAAGCCTCTTCTTCTGTTTCAAGGATGGTTCAAGGAACATCTAAAGAATTTAATTTTTCTTCCTCTTGTGCAGGAAAGCAAGCTCTTTTTTTCAGTAAGGAACAGTGGGAAAATCCAAATGATCTATGCTTCAAGAATTCATGCGCATAGCATGATGCAATGAGCTATTTGAGGACATGAGGAGTAGGTGTGAAATGTCTAATGAGTTCAGTGCAAAATATTTCTCACATCTAGCCATTATTAAGATTTCAGATTTTTCCCATTAACTGTTAGGAGAAAGTAAGACCTCTCAAAAGTGTTATGACAAGAAGGGAAGGGAGGAAGAGAGAGAAGTCTAAAAATAGCAAGTAGGGTAGGGCATTCGTTTAAGATTAAGGAGTCCTGGACTGAAAGCCCTGTCTTGAAACAGGCTCAAAGGGTTCAATGAAGTACAACGTAGACACTCAAGCTAGCTTTCTCAGAGCCAGTTCACATCCTAGAAGCAAAGGATTTGCACTAACTCTGCATGGTGCTGAGAAACAGTGCAAATACACTGGGGAAAGCATTGAAGTGGAACAGCCAGGCTTCACACCAGGCCCGTAACAAGTCAGCTTTTGACTTCATCCTGTAAAAACATTTTGACCTGGCAGTGTTTGCATTTTACACCCAAACAAAGCATCCTGTAATACCCAACAAAATTATGTTCAACACCCACGGATAATGTATGTTATTATTAATGTCATAACATCACAATAGTATAATTATTATTAATAGCACACAGA